TGGCAGTCAACTGGAGCTTTACCTCAACCTCATTGACTTTGTAAAGGCCTTTGATAGCGTCGACCGAGAAGTAATTTGGCAACTGCTGCTTCAACACTACGGAATACCACAATCCTTTATCAACCTCATTCAACAGCTATATGCTATATGAGGATGCCACATGCCGAGTGATTGACAATAGAAATCTCAGTGATGCCTTTGAAGTGAAGACAGGGGTAAGACAAGGCTTCCTACTATCACCGATGATCTTCCTGATTGTGGTGGGCTGTACTGGATCACGCAAGAAACTGTGAGGAGCGAGAAGATGGACATACGCTGGCTGGACCGATGAAAAGAGCCTAGAAGATTTGGATTTCGCCGGTGATGGTTTATGTCTAATGTCGTACAAACTTGAAGATCGACAGTTGAGAACTAACAAGTTGGCAGAAGAGACAGGGCAGTGAAGACGGGACTTTTTACAGGTGAACGTAGAGAAGACGGAGGTGATGAAGATACCCAACCAACCGCAACAACAAGCACCAATCACCATCAACGGGAAAAATCTTAAGGAAGCAGTCTCTTTCGCCTACCTACCTATGCACTATCGGTTCAACTACAGGTGACGGCACAGATGGGGATGTCAAAGCCAGGATCGGAAAGGCAGCAAGACAGGCCTTCATTAATCTGAAATCAGTCTGGAGGTCTACTGCACTGCACTCAGCATGAAGTGTGAACAAGATCCGGATTTTCAACACTAATTCAGTCAAGTCAGTGCTTCTATGTGATGATTGAGAGACTTGGCGCGTTACGAAAAGCATTTTCAACAAACTGCAGACATGCATCAACAGCTGCCGCCTACGCTCACTTGATACTGAAGATTAGATACCCAGAAAGAATAAGCAACAAGAAACTCTGGCTGGTTAACAACGAACCAACCAAGAACCTAACGCTTGACAAATATGCAGAAGAAAGTGGAGATGGATTGGATTGGACATACACTGAGAAGACTGTTTGGTGACAAAACGCGCCAAACCAGGCCCATGAGTGGAACCCGAATGGGAAACGACGAGTCGGGCGTCCGAGGGTGACATGGAGGAGATCGTGTGAGGAAGAGATGAAAGCTTCTGGGCGGTTGTGGAGCCAGGTTGAAAAGACCGCAGAGGACAGAGTGAAATGGAGACGTGCTAATGAAGCCCTATGTTCCACTAGGAACCCAAAAGACTAATAATAAACTCGGAGACATACACAAGCCTTAAGTTCTGTGATTAAAAATACAATTCATGAGAAGTAAAAAATTTACTTAAGAAGTTTTCACGATTGTACTTGCATACTGGACTATCTTATAAACGCTCATGAGAACAAAAATAACTTTCTCTAGCCACCATAGCTAACAGTTTATCAGGAAATTTGTCGAATATAATCTCATTTACTATAGTACTACAGGGTATTTTTATTGGTAACATATGTAGTAACAAGACATTGTTATTCATTAGATAAGCAAACTTCTTGGCAAATATCGATTTAACTTAATAGCGTCTCGTGTCTTTATGGAGCACTTGGTGGTGTAGTCATCTTAACTGATGATGAAACGTCATTAGTCAGATATCATTTCTTCTACCACAGCTTTTCTCTCTTTTTTTGCTTTGCTTTCATTCATTCATTTCCAGGGTAATGGTTAGATTCCAGCATTTGTAGTATATCAATATATTCATTGAAATTCCAAAGTAAGGTATGTAAAAAAGGACCTGTCATTTCTGGCGGTGCCCACCGAGTGAAAATGCGCAACTAACATTCTTCAGCAGCACACACTTTTATTTTAGGGAAAACTTTTCCAACAATAACTGAAGAACATTTCGTCACTGAAACAGACATTTATTCTTGTCTTCAGTTTCAGTCTATTTTTGAAAATATCAGCGGTTACTATTAACACAAGCTGAATATAACACCGTAAGCTAAATCTTTACTACATTTCCCCTCAGTTTGTGTAGTAAGCGTGTGTTTGTCTATATTATTAAATATCATGTGACGTATCATAAATGGCAAAAAAGCCCAAAGCGATTAATGCACGTAACTCGTAGACCTATTTAAAGACATCCTTAGTCAGAGAAATCTCGTGATTAAATTTCTGTCTGAGTCTCCAGAATAATTCGTTGTTAATACTTTAAAAAGTGCAGTTGTTTTGCACATTTCCAGACAAACAGATTAAATCAATGTAGAACCTTGCACACAAGCGTGTTGGTTCAAGTTGTCGGACTTTATAGTAGCGTGACATGCACCTATGTTTACTCTGATATCATTCTTTTTCTATGAGCTCTTTCTTTTCACGCTACTATAAAGTCCGACAACTTGAACCAACACGCTTGTGTGCAAGGTTCTACACTGATTTAATCTGTTTGTCTGAAAATGTACAAAACAACTGCACGTTTTAAAGTATTAACAACGAATTATTTTGGAGACTCAGACAGAAGTTTAATCCTTCTTTTGAGTAGAATAACACCAGTCTCTAAGTCTGCATGTAAAGTATGAAAAATTTTGAGGAAAAAATCTAATGTTTCATCATTCAGCCAAATATCCCCTGGTAAAGACTAAAATGCTGGCGTAGTCACAAGACTTGTTTGACTGAAGTTATTTGAAATTCAAGGCTAGTGAAGATGTTCAAGTTATAGAAGACGACAAAGGGTGAATACATTTGCGCCAATATGACCGATTTTCATCTGTTTTACGAACAGTCCCCAACCACTGAGTCATATGGTCTCCCGGACTCCGCACAGTCTAGCGGTTAGGATTACTAGTCTCCAACAAAGAGGCCAGGGTTCGACTCCCGGCCCGGGAATGGTTGGAACTGCGGCTTGTTGGTTTAGGAAGGTGATTATCATGGGCTCAAACCCCGCAGCCAGCTAGTATCATAAATATCCCTCACACAATAGGTGTGGCTCGTTGCTTACTGCACGAATGTGCACAAGGCTGCTAAGTGAGCTTCGTTTCGTTCTCGGACTGTTACCTCGTCTTGGTTTTGGCACCATTAGCCTTGTTGTAACCTAATTCAACTTTTGCTAATACAACTCATCGAGATAGGCCTTGACTAGGCAATCGCTGAAGGTTTGCAACTTTATACATTTAAGGGACTCAGTTCGGTGTTTTTGTAGACACTGAGTATTGAAGATATTGATGAAGTTAGACTAATGAAAATGAAAGTTATATGTTAAACATGCCTAATTAACCTGAAGTATAATACTGTAATAAGTTCATTTAGAACGTGAGTGACTGTCAAAAATAATAAATATTTTTGAGTTATTCAGCATTGCTGACTTTTAGCGTTTCATCTATTATCATTATTTTGTAACAACATAGTTACTACATTGATTGGTTCCTGGAGAGTAGTCAATTTTATATTATTTAGTCTTGAATGCTGACTAAATATGATTGATCCCTTGGAATGTATGATCATCAAGCTAGGGGACTTACATTCGCGGTGGACTTCGACTGATGTGAGATGATCAGAGTTAACTAGCAGGAAGCTATTTTACGAAATTGAAACATTCATTCATGCATTTTATTAAAAGCTGTGTGTACTCATGATGAGGAGAGGAAAAAGGTAGTATTTTAACCCTACCAAATATATGCATAAAAATAAGTACAGCGAATGAAAACTAGATTTTACACAAGAAAACTGATACTAATCAGTATCAATCAGGCTGTTAGTTATCTGGACTTGCACTTTATGTGTAAGGTAAGTGCAATTTAAAATAATTAACAAACTTCTATGCTGTATTTCACTATTTTCTCAAAGTTACTAGGTTCACTTGTCTCAACGTTTACTGAGAATCACAGCTGACTGGAAGTTAAATGTGCCGATGCCGTTTATGATTTCCAGAGCTCTAGTTTGAAAGAGAGAAGCATCATGGTTTCTGAGCATTTCAGGGCACTGGAAGGACTGGCGAATTGAAATGATGTGGTCATTCTTAAACCCGATAGGGAATCTGGTGTAGTTGTTATGAATATCCAAGACTACCAAAACAAAATGTTATTGATTCTCAATCACAAGGGCCAATTCATTGAAGACGGTCCAGCAGAACATGTTTGAAAATTAGAAAGAAAAGTAACTGAGAATTTAGTTAAACTTCTTAGCATAATTGCAATTAACAAAGAGACATTTTTATGTAGTAATGATGGTCCAATTAACGACGATATAATACAAGAAATAATACTAAAGAGGAATTTCATTCGTCAATATCCGTAGGGTGTGAATACCCAAACTTACACGGTTTATCCAAAATACACAATGTAAATATCCCGTTACATTCAGTACTGTTGACGTGTCACTCCCCAACGCATAAATTAGCCAAAAGTGTAGCACGCATAGTTAACGCACTCAAAAATCAATTAAGTTCTTACTAAAAGATACCTTTGAACTTAAAAGACGGATGTCTTTTAGGTATCAAAGATAAGACAATATCTTCTTTTGATGTAAACTCACTATTGACATTCGTTGTGATGACATATCCCCAAATAACCCTTCATTCTCTATCTGTTCGAAATGTTTGAAAGAGCTATTACTACTATGCACCAGTAAGGTTTACTTCGCTTTCTAAGTTAAACATTTTCGATAACTTTATGGTAGTGCAATGAGTAGTCCTTTGAGACCATTGTTCACTGGTGTATCTATGTCAAATGTAGACTTTCGACTGCGGACTTGACCAACAAATTCCCTCTGTCCTCGAAAAAAGATGACATCTCAGTAATATGCGACAAACCTGATGTTACAAGCCTTGTAGAAAAACTTAGAAACATACTAAGCCACATCAATTTATCATGTGAAGTAGAAAACAGCAATCGGCTTCATTTTCTTGATATCCAGACCGATAGCTGTTACCTTGACATGGTCGGGCTTGCATATCACAATAACCCAACGACCTATGCTGGTAGAATGCTTCTTCCCTCGAGGTCCTACCATACCAGAAAGGTCTGTTGGATAGTGGTTAGACAAAAAGCAGTTACCGTTGTGGTGTAAATTACTACACTATGATGGAGGTCTGAGAGCGAAATCGTACTGCTGCCAACTGGATGGGGTGTGACAGCAATAAGGCGTTTCCCTTGGATGACCAGCAGTGCCATGCTGATGCTACCTTCTCCGTGGAAAGGGGGGTTAGAAAAGGTTGACCCAAAAAATAACACTCCACCATGCCCCACTGTCTGTCTGGCCGACGGTGTTGGTTCATTTGTCGTTTCTTCTCGACCATCCCACCCCAAAACAATAAAACTTCAAAACAAACATACACAAAAGGCTATGCGTGACAGACGTCAAGCAGATGTTTGGTGGGCTCTGCGATCACATAAATCTCTATCAGGCATCTTAAGAAGAAATAGCCTTCCACGGAGTGGGCAGCCGGGAAGTATCAGTCACCCTCACAACTCTCTCAGCACTCAAGTTTCCTCAGACTGCTATCCATCTCCCCCCTCATTACCACCTAATCTTCCTTCATGTCTCCCAATTAACAATACTACATCATCTTGAATTTCTCCTAGTTCCGCAGCCTTTGACAACGATCTAAGTTCACAGAACAGCATCACTGGTCTCCTTAAACAATGCTCCAAATTACATATTGGAGCCTTCAATGTCCACACCCTGCATCAAATTGGTCAACAGGCTTCGTTGGCAAAAGCTCTAGCAACTCGGGCCATAGATGTGTACTGTGTTTGTGAGGCACGCATACAGGACCCAAGTGCGGTTATTCACCTGACCTCTACTGACCAATTTGGTGAGTCCGCAAGATTCACTCTCTCGCGGTCTTGTAGGTGTTGCCACAGCATTAAGCACTAGGGCAGGAAACCCACCACTGGACTGGATCCCAGTTGATAGTCGCTTCTGAGCTATCCGACTGAATGGCACAGTGAGAACTAAAAGCAATAGGGAGACTCGTCGTTGTCTCTTTGTAATCTCTGCTTACGCACTCACTGACTGCAGCTCGATTGAAGTGAAGGACGATTTCTATCGAAAACTGTCTAGCCTCCTCTTGAAAGCCAAACGTTCAGACGTGGTGGTTGTTGCAGGTGACATCAATGCACAGGTGGGTAGACTGAGTGGGGCAGAAAGGCACTTAGGTGGTACTTTTGGAATCCCGGCTAGACGAACAGATAACAGTGATCGCCTACTACAACTGTGCTCAGATAACCTCCCATTTTTAGCCAGCACAAATTCCAGACATAAGAAAAGACACTGTCTGACGTGGCGTCCACCAAGTTCAACTCAGTGATGGATACAGACAGATCACATTGCTATTAGTCATCGCTGGAGAGCATCGGTGGGAGACTGCCGCTCCTTCTGGAGTACGTGTTTGGATAGCGACCACGTGTTGGTCCGAGCGCGTATATGTCTGCGCCTCAATGAACGTAAGGAACATTTGGCAACAAAACCACCACGAGTACTGCTGGACAACGAAAACAGTGAGAAGTTGGTTAGACATTTATCAGAACAGAAGACTATAGCTCATCCAGAAGAAGCTTGGTGCCATCTCCAGTCTGCTGTAAGAGCAACGCTGAAGATAGTAGCCGACTCCAAAATAGTGGCTAAAAAGAGCCAGTGGATATCAGCAGCCTCTTCCAAACTAATAAATGCACCTGAACGCATTCCTGCCTGCAGGCTCTGAGTACAATGAAGAGCAAGCACAACTTAAAAGTAGACTGAGAAAAAGTCTACGCAATGACCACGCACAGTGGTGGGTAGCAAAGGCTAAAGAGATGGAAAAGGCAGCGGCGATCGGTAGTAGTAGACAGTTATTTAGACTTATTAAGGAGACTGGGCGGAAAACGTCAACAACGGTTAGTGAGACTATAGCGGAGAAGGATGGATCTGCGATTCACTCGCAGGAGAGACGACTGTAACGATGGGCAGAACACTTCGACGAGCAGTTCAACTGGCCTCCAGCCACCATTGCGTTGCCCACTATCCAGTCGGATCCTGAATGGGACATAGAGATAGGCCCCCCAACACTAGGAGAAGTTGAGAAAGCGGTAGGTAACCTGAAACAAGGAAGGACCAGACGGACTACCTGCTGAGGTACACAAGGAAGGTGGTAGAGTTCTCTTAGTCAGGTTAACGGAAGTGTTAGCTAGCATATAAGAATCAAATACGATCCCCTCTGACTGGTCTAAATCACTGATTATCCCAGTCTTCAAGAAAGGCAAGAAGTCCTCTTGTGATAACCATAGAGGAATCAGCCTGACGAATCTAGTGTCTAAGATTCTAGGTCCTATAGTTCTTCGACACCTGGTTGGAGCTCCGGAACAGCAAGCTCGAGAAAACCAAGCAGGCTTTAGACCTGACCGTGGATGTATCGACAAGATATTCACACTGCGCCAGATCCTGTAATATAGGCACGCTTACAGACGACCGACACTCGCTGTATCTCTCGACCTGAAGGCGACATTCGACTCACTCTATTGAGAAGTCTCATCGCAGTGTCTCTCACTGAAAGGCGTGCCGAGTAAGTGCATCACTTTATTGAAGGCTCTCTACTCGAACACTTACGGATGTGTTAGAGCCTATGGTGAGCTGTACTCATCGAGTGGTATCCGTCAAGGGTGCCCACTCTCTCCATTCTTATTCAATTCCATCATAGATATTCTTATGGAGGTCTCCCTCTCGTCACCAGGTTACACAGACGTTGACTTAATCGGTGGCGAATTTCCGTTAGACCTAGTATATGCAGATGACATTGTCCTGTTAGGTGAAGACGCTGACAAGATGCAGTCTTCTGAACACTTCGAGTGGGAATTTGAGGATGTTTGGCATGCGTTTCTCACCACCCAAATGCAAATTGCTGCTCCAGAATTGGTCTTCAACGATGCCCCGCCGTGGCTAACAATAGAGAGTGAGTGTAGTGATTGAGTGTGTTGACCACTTCACTTACCTGAGAAGTAGGATCAGCCCTGGTGGGTCAGTTGCCGATGAAATCTCTGCACGGATATAAAAGGCTCAAATGGCTTTTGCCAATTTACGCCACCTATGGCACCACCGTCATATCCGACTGTCTACTAAGGGTCGCGTGTACTGCACAGCAGTCCGCTCTGTTCTACTGTATGGCTGTGAAACATGGCCATTGAAGGTGGAAGACATGAGAAGGCTTCATGTGTTTGACCACCGTTGCCTTCGAAGTATAGGCCGTACTCCGTGGTGTCACCACGTGAGTAACGCGAAAGCCAGGTACAGAGTTTTAGTGAGAAGAGGTCAGTCGGTTGACGAGGTTGTGAACCTTCATCGACTGAGATGGTTGGGACACGTGTTACGTATGCCAAGTCACCGATTGCCTCGTCACACAATGCTGGCCGAGGTAGGTCCAGGCTGGAAAAAGGCCCGAGGTGACCAGACTAAAACGTGGCACCGATGCATGAAGCCTCTGACTGTTGTTTTGAGCCATGTGTAGTGATGCAGACTATCCGCTTGGAGGAACCAGTGGTTGGAGACGCTAGGTGATATGGCTGAGGACCGATGCTATACCAAATCTCATTATTTCCTCATTCTTCGTTACTCTCTTTTCGTACTTAATATTTCTTTTGACTTCACTTTCTTATCTTCATTTTGCTCCTCACTGCCTTATTACTTGATGTACTGATATGAGGTGTGGCAACTCGGATAGATACGCAGTAATGCCTGGTCCTAGGTTGATCTGGATGCATGGACCTCTGGGAGGCAGTTAGAGGTAGTTTTCGAAAGATAAATCTTCGTCTAATCCGTTGATAGACATACTGTCCGCTTATAAGGTGCTAATAATATCCAGCACATATGTCAGTGCTGCCCTGATATTGGAACATTCACGCCTGTTTAGTCGCGTCAGTTTCTCTTTCGCTAGGCCATCTTAATCTCATCGTTGTGATCCGAATTCTTTCTCCCACTCTGAAAGCGTGAGCTTTACAGTTAGGGGTACAGGAAGAAATTGTAATGCAATTATCTTGCGGACTATTTGTGGAAGCTCAAATGTTTATTTTGCTGACGTGAAAAATTCCGAACGAATTCGGCAAGTAAATACTGGGACCCAGATGAGTGTTCTTTTGGTGTTATTCCGAGTCAATGGCGTGCATTCTGAGAATATGGGTTTAAAGATGTCATAACTCAGTGAACTACCATAGCCCAATGATAACATTTTTGTACCTCCATATATCGTCAGCTGTGCTGTTTACTGGATTCCACTTTTTGCTGCAAACGGCGTTCAATATTAACAGTGGTCTTGCTCCACAGACGTTTCCACCATACCTTTAAAGTCTACTAGTTTCTAATACAACATATATTTTGTCCAAAAGCGTGTAAGTGGGTGGAGGTTAACTCAGGTCCTCTAGATGTTAGAAACCAAGGGTAAGGACTGTTCGTCAGGTGGTTTAAGTTCAGTCACAAAGACGTGGATACCGTTTTTGACGGCCTGAACATATCCAGCACCTGCAACATCTCTAGTTACAATATGGAATATTTCATAGGGTTACTTTAATATATTCTTATTCAAGGTGATGTTTATCCGGTAGACATACATCTCCAGTCAATTCTTCCCACGATAGACAGCTATAAGTTCATGAATATCCCCATGAATTATCAGAATAAAACTTGGTGAAAACTCCAACTCAGCCAACATATACATACTGTTACGAATTCCATTGAACATTTTCTTTTAGATTTGTGATTTTTCAAGCTCTTTGTGAGGAATACGTGTATATCAAAGCTATTACTGGTTCTCAAATGCAAAAGAGTCACCATCTATAAGCATTTGTAGCGCGGCTTAAACTAGGATGCGAGAAATGTACTACATAAAAACCTTAAAGGTATTCCACAAGTGGGATATAGAATTATATAGCCCTTTACTCCTCGCGTCCTCTTTAGATACTCTAGTCCTCAATACTGCTTCCCCAAATTCTAAGACAACTAACTTCAGTTCTCATGCCTTTATGTTCTTTATCACCCGATATGCAGATTATGATGGCGGATCAAACCAATCTACTGAGCAACGAGATAGACTTCGAACTTCTATTCAACACGTGAGAACTATCACTTCTTAATACCCAGAGATGCAAAAAATCACCAGGAGCTAGACAATTCATCCACGACTACCTCTCCAAATACAAATAATGAGGACGTACTTGGACCTCCAAATGTATGAAAAAAGAGTTATTATAGTCCCCGAGTTCCTCTTACACTGACAGGTTTACGATTGCTTACAGGGTGGAGTACTGGTTCCCCTCCTCACCATAATGAACTCTATGAATACTGGTTTCGCCTCAAAACTACTACGATATACCCTGATATTGAAAATTTTTAAGAACCTTATAATGGAAAAACTATGTAGTTAATCATACATGCATACATGAAAGTGTACACAAAGTTCGAAGGAGTCTAAAAGTATAGGAACTTCTCTCTGCGTAGTAATTCCTTTTTCCATATCTACTCGTGCTTCTTTCTTTTTTCATTTGCAGCAACAGCTTGGTGAGGACATTTGATGCTGAATTTCAATCTGAATATACTTAGTGGAAATAACACCTGCTGTTTTGGCTCCAAGAATTATTCGACTGCTCCCAATCTTTTGCGGTTTCTGGGACATCTTCACGATTAACTCACCTACTGGTCACGATTCTTAGTGACGAACCGTCTAAACTTTCCCAAAATTCATAGTGGCACAAATATTCTGAACAAACGACTAAACAAGACCAATTTACCTATTGGCTCGGGACGCGACTTACCTGCAGTTGTTCCAAACTACATATTCTCTAGTACTTTGTATCAACTGATCTTTCCAAGTAAAAGTTGCCATTCGTCAAATACACTTCTCGAATGTCGCTACCTACGCTAATATGAAAGGTGCCTGAAGCCTATGTAAAACTGCTGCCATTTGGACTACTAACTGTTTCAAAGAGTATTTTCATCTACCACTACAAGTAATCCCAGTGGGATTGATGTATATTACCTTTAAACATATCATGAAGTGGAAATGCATTGATTTAGACACTCACCTTGGTTATATAACTGTGGATACTTACTGATACTTCTAATAGTATAAATTGGTTTTTTGTGGTTAGCAAAGCTAAAAACTGAAGAACTTTCGAATGAATGGACGGTTATACTACTATATAATGAATTACGCAAATGGACTAACGTCAGCTGGTTATAACGCAAACCTCGAACATTGCTCGCTTTTGTTATTGATAGTGGGATACATCGCTGCAATGGCGGATGAAAATGCATGCCTGTCTCATGATTTGCAGCAAGTCTTAGTAAGTTTATGCACACCAATGACTTGGTATGCGAATTATATAATACCAAATACTATTATGTAAAGTTTCGAGAATTATCAATCTGACGGTGCTTGTGAACTGGCATCACTCAAGTTAAATCCACTACATGAGAATAAGAGTTCTTATTGTCTTCAATTAGACGCTCTGCTGTAAAGTGGGATTTTTATTCTTTATCTCAACCGCGATCTTCTGATGTTTTTAGTAGTTTAACGACCTCCCCACTTTACTAATGGGGACCAGTAAAATCTTGTAGATTTTTCGGTATACAATACCAATGTGATGATGCCTGCAAACTGGCATCTCTGATGATAAATTGCTAACATGAGAATAAAATATTTATTTATTTACACAGCTCTAACTGGGAGAGCGAATAGAAATGTTGTTATTTAATGCCATTTGCATACAAACTTGCAAGTTCTTCCAATCCTTATAACCACCCACCTGAAAACGAAGCTAACCAAGAGTGACTTCATACGACGCGCCGACCTTCCAGTATCCAATATCCAATATTGATAGTGCGAGCGTAGAAAACTAGTAGTTTTTGATCTCTCGCGTCTACTTCTTACGGCTTGGTTCCAGTTGTTCGGTTCACTCCTGCAGTGGAAGAGGAAATACCCTCTGCTTTCTTGCTTTTAGCTTCGGTGAGGTGGATGTTTTGTGGGTTAGTAGGTTGTAATTTGTAGAGTGATTAGGGAGCTACGGGTTGCTGGGAAGTTTAGAGAACTGCCGTGACTCCTGTCTGTGTAGGTACCTGAAAGAGAATAGTAAGGTAGTGGTAAAGGAATGAAGAGAGAATAAAGAAAAGAAAAAAATAAAAAAAAATAATAATATAGGGAAGAGAAAAGGGAAGGAGAAGAAAAGGAGGGGTGAAAAGAGAAATGAGAACGAAAGAAAAGTATTTGGGAATTGCCCGAATGGTCGCGTGGGTTTGGTTCCTACAGAAGAATTAGTAGGTAATGTGGGTGTATTAAGGAGAGAGATAGTGAGTGGTAGTTAGGAGGGAGTTGGGGGCTACTGAGGTTGGTGACTACCTGAGTACGTCCGTGGTAGTCCATGCGAGGTGACATAACTGTCTAATCGCCTCTTGAAAGAGTCGATTGAAGGAGCTATAACGATGTGTCGCGGTAAGGCATTCCATAAAGCACATATAGGGAGAAAAATTTGGACCTGAGTGTGGTGTTGGCTCTCTGGTGTGCTATCTTAATGGGGTTTCCTCGTGAAGATCGTTCAGTTGCAGGCAAAATTGATTTGTTTGCATGGTCTGCCTGATGGGCGATCTTGTATGCCATAATGAGGTCACCCCTTTTCCTGCGATAACCCAAGGTAAATAGGTTGAGGTGTTTAAGTCTTTCAGGATACGTCTTTCCCCTTAGCCCCACAACACATTTTGTTGCAGTTCTTTGTATTCTTTCAAGGAGATTAGAGTCTCTCTTGAGTGTTGGAGGAGCCACCGTATTGAAGACCTCTAGGTGCGGCCGCACGTAGGATTTGAAAATGGTGAGGAAGAGTTCGGGAGTGAGGGCGCCAAGCTGTCTACGCAGAAAGTGTAGAATGGCGTTCGCTCTGGTTGTCATACCTTTGTAGTTGGAGCTGGTGTCCAAGGTGTCGGAGAAGTTGAGCCCCAAATCTTTCTCCATGGACACTCTGGTGATAGCACGGTTGCTCAACATGTACTGGAAGTCGGTCGTACTTGCCTCATTTTTACTGATGTGCATTACTTTGCACTTTTCCAGTTGAAGCTCAGGCCATTTTCCGACGACCAGAGCTCGAGTTGCTGCAAGTCCTTTTGTAGTGCTGCACAGTCGGCTTCTTCGTTTACCACCCTCCAAATTTTTATGTCGTCAGCGAAGAGGAGGATGGGTGAGGATATTTTGTCTGGCAGATCGTTGACAAACAGGAGGAACAGAAGCGGTCCTAGGATTGCTCCTTGGGATACTCCTGACGTCGACGGTCTCCACTCCGACCTTATTCTGTTCACTTTAGTGCAGAACTGCCTCCCTTCCAGGTACTCCTTGAACCAAGAGAGTAGGGGTCCACTTATACCAGCTGACATGATCTTGTGAAGCAGTACTGTGGGTGGGACACTGTCAAATGCTTTGGCTAGGTCGAGAAATACAACATGTACAGGTTTTCTATTATCCCAGCTTTGTGTCCAGTCGTCCCAGGCGGTTAGTAAGTTGGTGGCACATGAGCGACCACTACGAAAGCCGTGCTGAGCAGTGTGGACAGTGTTTTCCTATTGAGGAATTCCCAGATGGTGTCAGCTACCAGGCTTTCCAACACTTTCGACACAATAGGGAGTAGGGCAATCGGCCTGTAGCTGCCAGGGCTTTTTCTGTCTCCTCCCTTGAAGATGGGTGACAAGATGGCACTCTTCCATTCTTTAGGGAGTTTGCACGAGTCTATTGAGTGCTCAAAGAGGTTGCGAAGTGGTTTGGTAAGCACCTCGGCGCAGTTTTTCAGAACCACTGGTTTCAGGTTATCGCAGCCAGGGGACTTGCCCGGACGTAGCCTAGATAGCTTCTCGAACACCTTTTTCTCTGTAATAGAGACGTGACAGAGGTATTCGTTATTTGCGACCTGGTCGGTGTCGTGGCGAGTCGGTGTGGATCTTGTGTCAGTGCTGAGTTGGGCTTGGAAGTGTGAGCTCAAAAGCTCGGCAATCTCTAGACTGCTTAGCACACTCCCGTCATGGCCTGTGACAAGATTCACTCCCTTACTGGTCGACTTTCTTCTTGACATGAAGCGGTACAGGTTTTTGGGGTTGCTTTGTAACCTCGCTGCCAAGTTTGTTTGGTAGGAAAATCTGTCGTTACGCACTCTAATGTTACAGAGATTGCGAATCCTTTTGTAGTTCAAGAAGTCAGACTCCCTGCGTGATGTAAGCCACTTGAACCAAGCCTGCTTCTTGCTCCGGATAAGCCTCTCTGTCCCACGCTTTAACCATGAGGTTCTCATTGATTGTCTGTGTGTTACTTCTGGTACACTGTGACTGATGGCCCCAGTGATTATTTTCTTCACCTCCAACCAGTGTTCATCTATTGTGAGATGAGTCCAGTCCACTGGCCATGATGCATTCATGAGGTAGTCCCTCATGGTCTCATAGTTGGCCTTGCTGTAGCAAGGGAAGGTGTTGGGCGTCTCCAGTTGCAGAGCCTCCCTAGTTATCATGGAGAAGGTGATTACAGCGTGGTCACTGAGGCCAAGGGGAGGTTGGATGCAAACATCCTCAATGAGAAGTTCATCGTTCGTCAGAACGTAGTCAAGGCGCGATGCGTTTCCGTTAGGTCCCCAGCGTGTAGCATCACCCACTTTCTCTGAGAGGCCAGCAGTCTTAATTGCATCCTTCAGCTTCTGATTGAAGGATCTGATGCGTCTCCCTTCCGTCTCGAAGAGGATGGACGGGGTGTTGAAGTCGCCGGCAATGACTACGGAATCGTAATTTGCAGAGGAAGTCGTTAAGATAGCCTTGATGATCATTTCCTTATGTGTAGGGGAGCAGGTGGGGGACCGATATATGACTCCGAGCAGGTATTTGGTACTGTGGAGAGTGAAGTAGCACCATAGGGACTCTGGGACTGGGTTAAGGCCGTATCGCTAACCATCCTTGCCTTTAAACAGAGTTTACGTAGATAGCCACTCCCCTCCTGCTCTATGTTCCCTGTCCCTGCGGAAGAGTTCCATGCCAGTAACATGCATCTCTTCGTCGGAGATGTCTGGCGAGAGCCAGGATTCGGTGATGAATATGATGTCGGAGTGCTGATGTGCACGCAGCGTCCTCATTTCTGCTACCTTCCCTCTTAGCCCCCTAACGTTGCTGTACATACATATTAGAGTGTGCCTGGTGAGGGGGAGGTCTGGTTGTGTATTTTCGCAGGATGACAGCTTATGTGGTTGGGTCTACCCTCGCCAGTCCTCATAGGACTGGCATTGTTCCGTTTTTTGGTGTTTTGTTATTAACTTGGGTGGGGGCTGTGGCAGTGGTGGCTTCTTTACTTGATGTATCTAACTCACTGGTCAGCGCCTGTGTGACGACCACTGACTCCAGGGTCTTGGTGGTTGTCGTCTCTCCTCTTGCCTTGTGGGTCTAGGCTTACTTTCACATATACGTATTGAGCCACCCATGCGATCCTTCGCATTATACCATGCCTGTAGAACGTCTGTGAGGGAGGCATATGAGTCGAACTGGACGGCGAGTAGTCTGGGATTGGGTATGGTCTTCAGGTGCGCTGGCCTTGGCAGTCTACTGACGCTGTTGGCCGGTATACTGTTGAGACCAACTTTGGTTGAGAGCCATTGCCATTGTTGGACGTCGTGAAAGTACCGATCTTTGACCGAGCGGTCACTTGGCAATTCTGGAATCCCATGTACAACTATAGTGTTGTTTCTGTTGGGATTTCCAACCGCTGACTTTCTCTCCTCCTCTCTTATTGACCATGGCTTGTCAGGCCTGGCCCGAATTTTACAGGCATTAACAACGTCCGGTTGTCGCGAGAGGAGGAGTGTGTCTTCAGCCTCTTTGGCGGTATTTAGGGACACACGTAAAGGGGGTGGCTTATCTCGGGGTGCACGGCTTCCTCGAGAAAGGCGACATAAAGTTGCAGGGAGGGGAGGGAGTCCCAGCATCTGACAGTAGTCGGTCCACATTCGGCTGTCAAACCGTTCCCTCTCGACCAACAATGAGTCTGTCGATACATCGACGTTGAACAAAATGATCGAGTTGGTCCTCCTGTGACCTGGGTTCGTTGTGGGTGGCACGCCCGACTTCCCAATGGGTTTGAGTAATTCCACTGGTTGTTTCTCAGTCACGGTGTGTGGGGTGTTTGGAATGGGTTTCGTAGAGGCTTTAGCGGTCGATGTCTTTGGCCATACGCTTGACGTCCCCTGGGGCCGGGTAGGAGGTATGGAGACTTGACCTAATATGGTCCCCACGCGAGGTGGCGTGCCCAC